TCCATTTTTGAGTTTTCTTCAAATTTCGAAATTTACACATTTTCTCAAATATCTCGAATACGGTCCATTTTAGAGAAATTATCTATAGAATAAAAATTATAGAGAATTATATTACAAACAACTTTTGTTTGAACAATTTTTATAAAAAAAAATATTTTTTTACATTTTGTCAAATTTCGCGAATACGGACCATTTTAGGAAAATTTTGTATATAACAAAAATTATAGATAATAAAATAAGAAGTAACTTTCATTTGAAGAATTTTCTTCCCCAAACGTAAATAACAGATATATTCCATAAAATATAAAAATGACCACCTATAAAGTACCCCCCCAGATGTTCCGACTCTGCCCAAAATCTAATCAGCTCATTAGACGTTGGAACAAAGCTTAAGTTTGAAATTTGGTGTTTTTCCGTGTATCGGTTCATGAGTTATGCGTTATACAGACACACACACACACAGACACACACACACACACACACACACACACACACACACACACACACACACACACACACACAGACATCATCGCGAAAATAGTCAAAACGGATTCAGGGGACCTCAAAACGTAAAAATCCGTCGAAAACTTGAGGTCGAAAAAAATCATGATTCCTATACTTTCCTTATATCTGTATACAGATAGGAAAGTAAAAATCTGATGTGTCCAACACATGACTTTCCTATCTAGTTATATAAATGTTTAGAGGATAAACTAAATATATACATTGTCCACATATATCTACCTCGAAACATTTTTCTATAGATATTCATGGAAAACGAAAATACTGAAAAATTTTAATTTCCTACAATTTTTTCATTACGGTCCATTTTAGAAAAATCATGTATAAACAAAAATTATAGAGATCGATATCGCAAACAACTTTTATTTCAAAAACTTTCATAATAAAAATCAGAATTTTGCACATTTTGTCAAATTTCTCGAATACGGGCCGTTTCAGGAAATTTTTACATAAAACAAAAATTACAGATAATAATATTAGAAGTAACTTTTATTTGAACAATTTTCCTCTCCAAACAAAAATAACATATATTCCATAAAATATAAAAACGGCCTCCCATAAAGTACCCCCCCAGATGTTCCGACTTTGTCCAAAATCTAATCATTTCACGTCAGGCCGAAATAAACCTTAAGTTTAAAATTTAATGTTTCTTTCTTTATCCGTTTTTGAGTTTTCTTCAAAATTCGAAATTTACACATTTTCTCAAATATCTCGAATGCGGTCCATTTTAGAGAAATTATGTAGAGAATAAAAATTATAGAGAATTATATTACAAACAACTTTTATTTGAACAATTTTTATAAAAAAATATTTTTTTTACATTTTGTCAAATTTCTCGAATACGGACCATTTTAGGAAAATTTTGTATAGAACAATAATTATAGATAATAATATTAGAAGTAACTTTTATTTAAAGAATTTTCTTCTCCAAACGTAAATAACAGATATATTCCATAAAATATAAAAATGACCACCTATAAAGTACCCCCCCAAATGTTCCGACTCTGCCCAAAATCTAATCAGCTCATTAGACGCTGAAACAAAGCTTAAGTTTAAAATTTGGTGTTTTTCTGTGTATCGGTTCATGAGTTATGCGTTATACAGACACACACACACACAGACACACACACACACACACACACACACACACACACACACACACACACACACACACACACACACACACACACACACACACACACACACACACACACACACACACACACACACACACACACACCACACACACACACACACACACACACACACACACACACACACACACACACACACACACACACACACACACACACACACACACACACACACACACACACACACACACACACACACACACACACACACACACACACACACACACACACACACACACACACACACACACACACACACACACACACACACACACACACACACACACACACACACACACACACACACACACACACACACACACACACACACACACACACACACACACACACACACACACACACACACACACACACACACACACACACACACACACACACACACACACACACACACACACACACACACACACACACACACACACACACACACACACACACACACACACACACACACACACACACACACACACACACACACACACACACACACACACACACACACACACACACACACACACACACACACACACACACACACACACACACACACACACACACACACACACACACACACACACACACACACACACACACACACACACACACACACACACACACACACACACACACACACACACACACACACACACACACACACACACACACACACACACACACACACACACACACACACACACACACACACACACACACACACACACACACACACACACACACACACACACACACACACACACACACACACACACACACACACACACACACACACACACACACACACACACACACACACACACACACACACACACACACACACACACACACACACACACACACACACACACACACACACACACACACACACACACACACACACACACACACACACACACACACACACACACACACACACACACACACACACACACACACACACACACACACACACACACACACACACACACACACACACACACACACACACACACACACACACACACACACACACACACACACACACACACACACACACACACACACACACACACACACACACACACACACACACACACACACACACACACACACACACACACACACACACACACACACACACACACACACACACACACACACACACACACACACACACACACACACACACACACACACACACACACACACACACACACACACACACACACACACACACACACACACACACACACACACACATACAGACATCATCGCGAAAATAGTCAAAACGGATTCAGGGGACCTCAAAACGTAAAAATCCGTCGAAAACTCGAGGTCGAAAAAAATCATGATTCCTATACTTTCCTTATATCTGTATACAGATAGGAAAGTAAAAAGGTAAAAATAACCAATCATTCTAACAGATCGACCGCAATAAGTGGATTATCAAAAGCAGGCACTAGTGTCCAAGAAATTATTAAAATTACGGGTCATACTTCAGAGCATTCAATACAACCATACCTGCAGTTAAATGAGGACCATCATAAGAACATTATATCAAAATTTAAGAAATGAGACAACTACAACATCCTCCACTCTTTGCTCTACAAGTGCCGTGGCTCCAATGTCAAATAATGTATTTAATAATTGTACGTTCAATATAAGTAATAAATAAATTTAAATAAAACAAATTACCTATGTACTTTTTATTTTCATTTCATGAACTTTTTTGTAGGTAAATAGAACTTGAAATAACTTGAAATTTAGTAGATTGCTGTCTACTTACTATATATATATATAAATAGAAATGTTATTTAAATTATCCAGGTGGTCTAGCGATAGAGTTCTCGCTCTGCAATCGCAAGGTCCAGGGTTCGATTCCCCTAGGAAACTTTTTTTTTTCTTTTTTTCTTTATTTTTCTTTTTTTTTTCATTATTTTTATTTTTTTTTTTAATAATTTCGTGCTATAGTCTATCTGTATACAACTCGACAACTGAAAATTTCCGAAACTCGACGTATTGCCTAACAAAACACCACTCGACCTACGGTCTCGTGGTGTTTCAGGCAATACGTCTCGTATAATCGAAAATTTTCAGTCGTCTAGTTGTATAATGTATGATAATTATCAAGAAAAATAAAAAAAAATACTTTAAAATGTTCGCGTTTCTGTACAATTTTTAAAAATAACAAGTCATAAAAAAGGATACTGTCCAAAACATTATCAGAGTTGTTTTTCTTCCTTTTTAGTTTTGATAGGGGTTATTTACGGTTATTCCAGCGCACGTGAAACGTTTTAGGAAGTTTTCATTAATGCCCCGGTCACGGCCAACGAAAACAAGACCCTTTTCCCCAAGAGATGGATAAAAAGGTTTTCCGCTATTATTGGGATTATTTGTCAGGAAATTTCAAAGAAATAGGAAAATATTGGTTTTTTTACGACAGTCAGAACGTCAGAAGGTTTATTAGGAAATGTATTTACCCATCTTTTTTTTATAAACTCTTGTGAAAATAGTACATATTAGAATATAGTCATATACAGAGTGTGTAACATAATACAAATGACTTAATTAAACTGAATTAGATTAAACAATCAAAAACAAAGTGATATCAGTTTTTTTAGATACCTAGATTTTAATTTTAAAATTTAAGAAAATGTTTTTATCATACAGGAGGTAACATAAAATGTAACAACAGTTTCTGAGGCGATAATACGTAGATTTTAGTTAATCTGTTTACATAAAAAATGGATAGTAAAAAAATCACAAGGTAGAAATTTCAGAAGTGATTTTTTGCTCTTTCATATCTGTACAGTATCCTTTCTAGAATTCAATGCACTTTTTGGTTCTGTAGTCTGTCTATATAATATATAAAAGCGAAATACGAGTACCACTCACTGACTCATCACCAGATCTCCAAAACTGGTTTCAACGTGATTATAACTGGTTTTTAATAGGTTACTTGCTTTCTCCTAATAAAATCTTATTTCGTTTTTTATATTTGTTTAAACTTTATTTTTATTGTATGTAAAGTTGCATCAGCAACTGCTCTGGTTTATTTAAAAAAAAAATGTCTACCAAGTCTTAGTTATTTATCTTTTATCGTTTTTAAATTAATTTAGAACTAAAATTAAATGCAATTAAACTCTCGTCTTAAACCACTGAATACTCACGATTTAAAAAAAAACGACCAGAGGTGGATTTTTTAGAACTACGTATATTTAGGGGGCCATATTTTCTCGTATATGAAATTTTAGACATTGATTGTTCATCGTCTTTTTTAATGATAGATTTATATCTTTGTTTCAGATGACTATAATAGGGTAGTATTAGATACTATAGAAGGAGAACATGATACCGACTATGTAAATGCTTCCTATGTAGATGTAAGTATTAAATCAACCAACAAATTTTGCGTAAAATAATGAGCGTTTTTATGTATGTTTAAAATCCGACTTTAATTTTCTTATATAAATTATATTATAGCGTTACTCTAAATAGCAAACCTCGTAACTCCATTTTTTGCCAAATTCAAATTTTCATGCCAACTTGTAGAGAGAAAAAACTGTATTACATGTTTCAAACCTCATTTATCCAGAATCCAGAATATTTTATAGGTTTTTTTTTTGTACAGGTTGGCATGAAAATGCGAATTTGGCAAAAAGTGGAGTTACGCGGTTTTGATAATTAGGATAACGATAGGTATATTTAGGAATAAAGTTAAATAAGCGAAAAAAAGTTCAACAATTAACACCACAACTCCTGAAACGCAGCTGATATTTTTAAGTGCTTAGCAAGCGGGATTAATAAAACACCTACTTCCTCAAAATTATATCCTACTCAGGAATACGTTGCGAACCGCTCGAAGTTGCTCTGAAGTTTCTCGAATAACCGAAACTCCTTAACAAGAACTCACAAGAGCTGTTATAAAGAAACATCGAAACGAGTCTTATACAGTCTCTGTCTCTGTCACTCTGTGAAGTTCTAGCGTCTATAAGTCGGGTGAAATTTTATGCAAACTGGCAGTTTGGTTCGGTTGCTAAAGGATCGTCTGCGGCTTTATAACTTATATGTAGCGCCTTGGAAGTTCTTGAATTTATTTCGTGAATGGATAGAGTGAATGTAATGTATTCATACTGTGTGATGCAAATCGTATGAAATAAATTTATTATTTCAAAAATATACGGAATAATAATTATTTTCCTTCACGTTTTACTGGTGCACGTGCGATTTGTACATTAGTATATTATTTACCATGTAACATAAACGGCGAGCCACTGTTTTCTCTTGAAAACAAAATTTAAAATTCCCTTTGCCCATCTAGTGTAGTTGTAATGCCATTTAAAAATCTCCATACCCAGGGACATCTAAAACAAAATAAAAGCGCAGTGTGTATCTTAACTCCGAGCAATTACTAATAGAGGGAGCGTGAAAACGAGTTTGTAGGCGATTGTTGTGTTAGCAACATCTGTAGAGGAAGTGAGGAAGCGGGAACAAGGGGGAAGGTAAACATCCTTCTTGTTCAGTGGCGTATCATTTATCTATAAAAACACACCTTGTCCAAACGTTTTAATTGTAAAAAAAAACTAAAAAATTTGCTAATTTTACTATTTTTAAAATGAATACCGTCTTATATGTGTCTAATGCAGGAAAAGAAACAAAATCACTGTGAAGGTCTAATTTTTTCAATTGAAGAATAAAACCTTAAAATCAATTTTATTATAAATACAGGAGCGACTAGTTTCGGCCTTACAGGAACATCTTCAGGCCTGTAATACAATAATTTTTAATTAATATAATAGGTTGGTCACTTACGAATAACATTAAATAGTATAAACCACAAAAATGGATCCATATTGTAGCGTTACAGCATTATAGAATTAAAGCTGTGAAAATAAAAGAGCAGTGCAAACGTAACTAAAAATAAGAAAACTGAGTACGGAATCTACAAGAGAAGAGGTGAGAATGAGTAATTAATTACGAATGCATTTATATTGCTCGGGATAACAAATAAAGCTGATAATGTAGTGGTATATGTTAAAGAGAACGGCGTTTTCTCTGTAAATCTGGAGAATGTAAGGATGGAGGGAAGACGAATCTTGCTGGCTCAGATGTAGATGGCTAGAAAAAGGAGCGTGTAGATGAAAGCTCCAGTAAATATCGTCACTTTCGTCTAATTTTTTATTCTCACTCACCGTTTCGGCTTTATCTTCGAAATTCATTTTTAAAAGGAAATAAAAGTAATCATTCATACAAGCATATAATAAAACAACATGAATTCATTATATTTAATAAGCTAATAAACGTTTGTTTCAATGAAAAAAACATATATGTGAGTATAAAAAATATATAAATAGATAAGATTAATATTAAAATCAATTTGAAAATACAACAGATAATAAAATGAAATAAATTAATACAAGTACAAATAGAAAGTTAATAACATACCTTCTAAAAGTAATATATTTTAAGTAGATAAATGTTTAGAGTTTAGAACATAACTAATCTAACGTTTTTCCCCTTTTTAATATTATGAGGGTTTTTGTAGTTGAAATGAAAATTATAATTTATTTTGGTCCTAATAAAAATTTAAACATAGGTTATCAAAGAGTAAAATTCAGAATAGAACTTCATAATCTTAAATCGTTATCAAAAATTATTAATGGTAAAACTTCAAATAATAATTAGATTCTTAAACAAATTTTTAGTTTTTGTTTTGCAAAAGACTTTTTGCCTTCTTCGGTTGCCTCTGCCACTTTTCTTTTAGTAGTTTCGAGGAGAATTTTCCTGTGGAAACCAGTAGAACCATCAATTGGTTGGTAAAATTTTGATATTTTGAGTCTGGTAAGTCTTGTTAAACTTTCTTCTTAGGAAGCTATAACCTTATGGAGAATAAAAATTTAATAATGTTAGATCAAAAGCTCTTAATTGAGAATTATATTTGTAAAGGCCGTTTTAATAATATTTTCAAAAGTTCTTGGAATCGTTGTTAACAGAAACCTGCAAAAAAAATTTATTCTTAAAATATAAGATATCACACAATGCACATTCATATAATATCATTGTGCTAGAAAAATACTAGGTAGTTACTGAGACAATTTAAAAAAAGTATTTAAAAAAACTCAACTTTTAATGTCATCATTATACTTAACTTTTTATTGCTAAATTATTAATAATGTAATTTTGTGTAGTTCGTTGTGATTTGTATAATATATATTATAAAAAACTATCATCAATGTTAATGTGCCAAGTTTTTTTAATAATTATGTCCTTGTTATAGTAAAAACACATTTAACCACATTTTTAAAGTGTTCTGGATTTCTGCTTTAAATTATCGTACAATTGAACTGACTAATTGTGAGTTTAAGTAAAGGTATATCTCTTTTTTGTTATAACAGTCATTGTATATTGTTCTAACTTTTTAGATAATCAGAGAAAACAGTATGACATCTCTTAATATATCCTATTTCACCAACAAAAATGTAGAATAATTAATCTCACATCAAACGAAAAAAGTAATTTTAGGGTGTCCTAATAGGTTTTAACTTAAAAACTAAATAAAATGTATATTGCAACTGTGTTTAAACAAATGAATGTTTTTATACCTGACTATAGCACCAGACAAACATTTTTTTAGATCATAATGATCTGCATAACTCAAAATAGTCAAAATCCACATTATTTAAGTTGTTCTAGTATTGTTTTAGCATAACGATGTTAACTCCAATAATAAATATTCACATTTTTTGGGACGTTTTTTAAGGAAATTAAAAAAAAACATGAATAATGTGATATTCTTGTTTAGTTGTGTACTATATAATATAGTTCATTAGGTAGTGATTTAGAAGAAAATTATGTTCTATTTATAGAATAAAAAATCACTTATAATATCTAAATATTTATACCTATTTATATTTTGGACTATTTTATGTTTTTGGCTCTGAATAGTTTTCTTAAGAATTTTAAAACCTTCCTTAGCTCTTTTGGGATATTCCATGCATATCTTAGAAGTTCATTTTGTTTAAACCTAAAACAAATTAATTACAAAAAATGAAAATTTAAACAATACACAAAATTAGTCTTTTAGATTAGTTAAAAAAAGTGTCAACAAAAAAATGGCTATGCCTTTTTCCTTAAACATTCTTTTTGAAAGGAAATTAAGTTTCTCTACTTACTTGCCATTTTAGTATTTTAGTAGCAGATGAATATAATGTAGAAGTAGTGACAGGATTGATTATTATACTTCCTTCGTCGAAATTGCATTTTTCTTTAATATTTTCCTTCCCTGAGGTCTGTAATAAAAATGTTCATTAGCAGAAAAAGTTATTCAGGTGGTCACTTGTTGAATTCCTATATTTTGGAACTATGTATTTCTTTTTCATATCAAGAAAAGGAAACCTAAAAAAAATAACAATAAACTTTACAAAGATGTGATATTAAAATAATAATAATAAGTAATTAACCTTTACTATAATCATTATGAGACGAATGAAGACGAACTTAGCTGGTGTTTACTTGCTCTTAATTTTAATAAGAAAATAAGAAAGTTTAATTGCAAATTAAAGGTGATTGCCTAATGCACCGCCTCTGATAATTAGGTTGTGTCTGTACTTACTTATGATATTATCTTGAAGAAACATTTTCAACAGGCCTTTTACACATAAAGCATGTTTCCACCATATTATTAGAGATAATAAATCTTAAATATACATTTACAACCCTTACAACGTTATAAATAATAATATTTTCCGTAAAATACAAATAAGAAATTGACATGTGTCAGAAAGTGTCAGAACTGGCGCTCACAGAACACTTCTGGCGCTGTCAAACTTGGCAACGCTGATTAAATAAGCCAATTACAGAAGAGGTATTTTCCCCCTCGGGGGGAGTAGATGTTGCTAACAAAATTTAGCGCAGGGAAGGGGGGAAGACTCCCTCTAGTAGTAATTGCTCGGAGTATCTTAAAATAAAAAATTACAGAGGTAACTTTTTTAAATTCTTAGAAATATCATTATAATATTTACCTTTAAAATTTCAATAACTTCAAAAAGACATCTGAGTTATGCTCTTTACAGGTGAACCATGCAAAATTAACATGTTGACATAAAAATAATATTAGTTTTTGAACAATTTGTTCTGTATGTCCATATTTGGGTAGTATTTCATAAATATAATAATGAATAGTACCCAAAAATTGAACTATATTTTAGTATAAATCAAACGTCTTTTTTCATCATGTTCCTTTAAATGGGTAAAGCTATGATGAGGTTCTACAATATCTGTGCGTAAATTGGCTTTACACATTTCGCAATCAATTCCTTTCATTTTTTTAACTACAAATCCAGCTACATAACTATAATGTGGGGCCAGATGGGACCGAGCCGGTAGCATCGTGTTCTTACGCCTCTAAGGTAAGCAATATTGGGGTAGCCATTGTACTAATAGACTGTCCCAATAATATATTAACAACGGAGCAGGAAGACCTAATAAGGCCTGCACTGCTCGACAGACTCGAAGAACTAGACGAAAGAGGACTTTCACCCAGGTTCTCCGAAGCTAGGATAAGAATCGGGAGTTTAAACCTTTCTTGCGTTAATCAAGCAACGAGAGATTGAGTTGAAGCAGACCGTCAAAAGCATGGTACCTTGGGATGGTGCTAAACTCAAAGTTATAAACTCTGGGGAAGTAATGAAACCCAAGTTTACTATGACATGGATACCGAAACCGGCAATGGAATCGGACAGAATAATGAAGAGGCTCCAAACGGGGAACTGGAGGGTTACTGGAAGGAAGTTCGACCCTAGGGGACAGCAACTTTTCATAACCATAGATTCCGTCTCCTGGGAGAAGATAAAGGAAAAGCAGGGAATACTGTTCCTGAATTTCTCCAATATCTTGATAAAAGAAATTGGAGGAAAGACGGAACGGACTACTTCTGCTGCTCCTGAAACTTCTCAGGAAAAAGAAACGCCTACTGAGGTAGGAGAAAACTTACCAGAGGAGAATCAGTCCATGGTCGTAGAACCACAAGAAAGTGGAGCTACAGAACAAGAGATTGACGCACCAATGGAAATACGGGACTCGGAATCCACAGTACGTGAGCTAGGTGAAGACAGGAGAGGACTCTTCTAGGGGATTCACCTTTGTCTGACCTGGCTAACGTGCCGGAGGAAGAAGAGGACCCTACAACTAAAAAAAATATGAAGGTAATTCAAGCAAATATACATCACTGTTGGGCGGAAACAGCTGTCCTACAACAGCTGTCCATAAAGCCTGAAATTGTTTTGTCTCGTCAATTTTGAAAGCTTGTTTGATATATTGAGATTTAACCCGCTTATGTGAATAAAAAAATAATGTCATATTTAAAAAAAGCATTTTTCGTACATTTTATAAGATGTGAGGATCAAATAATGTTATTACCCTTTTCCCATTAACATAAAAATAAGGTCCAGATCTTGTAATTTGCCTACGACTCCTTAATCAAAGCTGCTCGATTTGTACCCCCCAGATCACAAACAGTAGCCAAAACATTTAAACCTATATCTTCAAGAGCTGTTATTACTTCTACAATAATAACTTTTAAATCTATAATTTTGATTGCAGCTTTGGTAAAATAATAAGCCGTTGGCTACTTCCAAGCCCTTCAAACACCAGCGCATGATCGGCAGACTCTAGAATTCTTCTTAAGGTTTTTCCAAGATCTAAATAACTAACTACTTTATCATTGACTACATCTAAAGTAAACTGTTCTGTGAGTTTAATTTCATCAAATAATACACAGTTCCGGTCAATTTTCTTAATGCTTCATGCGTTTTCAACATTTATTTAACCACAAAGCAAGATTGTACTTTGTTGATTGTTCATAAGACCTTTTGGGAAAGTCTGGATTAGAACAAATCCTATATAACCCTATAATTTTTATAGACACACATGTAATTATAATTTTTTTGTAGAGTTTACTGAAGCCCAACGCCTATATAGTAACGCAGGGGCCCACAGAAGAAACTGTGACCGATTTCTGGCGAATGGTGTGGCAGGAGAACGCTAGCTGTATTGTGATGTTGACGAAAACGTTCGATTTTATAAAGGTAATTTCTCCCGACACGTAGCGCTTCATTACTTTGATTTACTACTAATTCAATTCGTTACCTTTCGCATAGGTCATGTGTGTGCAGTATTGGCCTGCGTCCAAGGAATTGGAGGAAAGTTACGGGGGCATTCACCTACAGATCGTCGTCGAGGAGGAACTGGCCAATTTTCATATTAGGACTTTTAGATTGTTTAAGAAGGATCAAAACGTAAGTCGTGAAATGAAAAAATCATGATGTTAAGGCGAACGTAATATGTCATTAAGTTTTTATTTACCAAGGATATATCGGAAAACAAATTTACTGGGAACAATAACAAACAATTTCGTTATGCAGGCGAAACTCCACGGTATTGTGTAGGCGTATTCGAATTATTGATAATTGATTCAAAAAAAAATTGTTTTAACTCTGTAAAAATTGTTCTTTTTGTTTCTCTATTAATTCCGTTAAACCAAATATTAATATTTTGAATCCATACTACACACAGTATAAAACAAAATGATAGGTATATACAATTTTCGAGTTGTTTGTTATTGTTCTTTGTTTTTTTTTTTTTTTAATTATAATTTGACTTTAACAGAATATGGAATAATTTGTTTTTCGAAATATTTGTAGTCCTTGGTAAATAATAAGTTATTGACTGATATAGCCAAAGAACTGTTATTTATGTAAAAAAGTATTTTTAGGGAAGTGTAACAGAAGAAAGAACGATACTCCAATTTCACTACACGCAGTGGCACAGTCATTCCTGTCCTTTCACCAACGCCTTGTTGGAATTCCGAAGAAGAGTCAGAGCCGTAGTGGGCCATGTGATAAAGTCGAATGAGGCTGGACCAATGGTGGTACATTGCAAGTACGTGTCGTAAATGTTCGATAAAGATATTTTATTTAAACTTGAGTTTGGAATATTATTTAATGTTTTTTTTAGTGATGGTGGGGGAAGATCCGGTGTATATTTATCGGTAGACGCAAACATGGAGTTGGCAGAAGAGGAAGATAAGTTTGACGTGTTTGGTTATCTGAAAAAATTGAGACAATCTAGAAAAGGTCTTGTAGACAACGTTGTAAGTAAATAATTATTTTTTAACGTTACACTGTGTTATTTGAAATGAAAAAATATGTAATCAATAATTAAACATTTGTTGCAATTATAGAACTATGTATTATTCATTTTTATTGACTATTTTATAGAAATTACTGCAGTTGCCTTTAAGTTTATTGATTTTTAACTCTCGAGCAATTTTACCAGTTCCTTCAACTCTCGAGCGATTTTAACACAAAAATTTTCAAAATTAAGCATTTATTACAAATAAATAGTGTGTATGGCCTTCTCTAACTTCTAAAGCTACTACACAACGTCTAAAAATATTTTAACTTTGTATTTGATGGCACAACTAAAATGTAAAACACTCGAGCAATTTTACTCGATCTTGTAATATTTGAGCAATCGACTTATCATAAATTATTAAGTAATTTTTAACTAGCCAACAACTTTTGATACAGTTAATTATTTTGGAACTCTCGAGCAATTAGGTACTAGTAATTACCGATTTGTTATCTCTCGAGTACCTAATTTTTAACTATTGAGCAATCAAATTACCGTAAACTCTTGAGCACTGTTTATCATCTCTTAACTGTCGAATAATTGTAAATAATTGTAAATTATTCAGGCATTTTTAAACTCTCGAGTAATTATCGATTTAAATGTCGAGTAATTTTTAACTATTTTTAATTCCTGAGCAAACTAATAACTGTAAACTCGAGCAATTTTTAATTATTTTTCAACTTTCGAATAATCAATTATCGTAAATTAGCAAGCCATTGTTAACGAGTCTGCTACTTTTGGAGCAATTAACTATCTTGGGACGCTCGAGTAATTATTGTGCTTCAAACTCTCGATTAATTACCGATTTTTAATATATTATCTCGAATAATCTTTAACTATTCCTTGGCTGTTCTTAAACAGTCAATATATTATAAATTCTCGAACAATTTTTAACGATCTTGCAACTTTCGAGCAATTAATTATCTTGGAACTCTCGAGCAATTAGGTGCTTTAAACTTTAGATTATTACCGATTTTTTTATCTCCCAAATAATTTTTGACTATTCATTAACTCTTGAGCAATCAAATTATCGTCAACTCTTGAACAGTATTTATCATTTCTTAACTCTCGAGCAATTAATTATTTTGGAACTCTCGAGCATTTACGGTGCTTTAAACTCTTGAGTAATTACTGATTTTTAAAATCTCGAATAATTTTAACCTATTAATTTTAGAGTAATGAAATTACCGTGTAAATTCTCGAGTGATATTTATCATCCCTTAACTTTCCAGCTATCAAATATTGTAAATCATCAAGCCATTTTTAAAGTATTTCTGCAACTCTTGAGTAATTAACTATCTTGGAAATCTAGAGAAATTAAGAGCTTTAAACGTTCGAGCAATTTCCGATTTTTATCTCTCGAGTAATTCTTTAACTATATTTTGTTCTTGAGCAAACAAATTATTGTAAACTCTTGAGCAAGTTTGAACTATCTCTTATATCTAGAGCAATCAAATATATTGTAAATGATTAAGTAACTTTTAACTACTCTCGAATAATTACTGTGCTTTAAACACTCGAATAATTACCGAGTTTTAATCTCTCGAGTATATTATGTGCTCTTGAGCATTCAAATTACCGTAAACACTCGAGTAATTTTCAACAATTCCTTAACTTTTATTTTTCTTTATTTAAATTTAATTTAAATTTCAAAATGTTATAATTTCACCTAGTTTGTTTATTATAAATACCTACCTTACATCACGAATTTGTAGCACACTCGTAGTTGTGATTTTATTATTTTCGTAGACACTATCCTGGGTTTTTCCTGTTTTTGTCTCAAATAAATAATAAATAAATAAGTAAACTGCTCTTTAGCATTTTTAAAGAGCCTGCAACTCACGGGCAATTACCTGACTTGAAACTCTCGAACAATTACGGTACTTTAAATTCTCTATGAATAACCGATTTTTTTTTAATATCTATAATAATTTGTAACTATCCCTTAAGTCTTGAATAATCAGTCATCGTAAAGCAATTTTTAAATATTCAACAGCTGGCTATCGACTAAACAATTGTCTGTAACACTCGAGCAATTACGGTTCTTTAAACTTTCAAATAATTCAAATTGAGTAGTTTAAACTCTCGAGTAATTTAAACTTTCGAATAATTTAAACAGTCTAGTAATTTAAACTCACGAGTAATTTAAACTCTCGAGTTATTTAAATTCTCTGGGTAATTTAAACTCTCGGGTAATTTAAACTCTCGAATAATTTAAATTCTCGAGTAATATAAACTCTTGAGTAATTTAAACTCTCGAGTAATTACCAAAAGTTTAATCTCTCGAGTAATTTTTAACTGTTTCCTAACTCTTGAGCAAACAAATTACCATAAACTCTTGAGCAATATTTATCATCTCTTAACTCTCGAATAATGAAATATTGTAAATTATTTAGCATTTTTAAACTCTCGAGTAATTATCGATTTGAATATGTCGAGTAATTTTTAACTATTTTTTATTCTTGAGCCATTTTTAATTATTTTTCAACTCTCGAATAATCAATTATCGTAAAATAGCGAGCCATTGTTAACGAGTCTGCTACTTCTGGAGCAATTAACTATCTTGGAACACTTGAGTAATTATTGTGCTTTAAACTCCCGAGTAATTAATGGTTTTTAATATCTCGAGTAATTTTTAACTATTCCTTGGCTCTTCTTAAATAGTCAATGTATTATTAACTCTCGAGCAATTTTTAACTATCCTTTAATTCTTGATCAATCTAACATTGTAAATAATTGAGAAATTTTTAACGATGCTACAAGTTTCGAGCAATTAACTATCTTGGAACTCTCGAGCAATTAGGTGCTTTAAACTTTAGATAATTACCGATTTTTTATCAAATTATTGCAAACTCTTGTACATTATTTATCATTTCTTAACTCTCGAGCAATTAATTATTTTGGAACTCTCGAGCAATTACGGTGCTTTAAACTTTTGAGTAATTAATGGTTTTTAATATCTCGAACAATTTTAACCTATTAATTTTAGAGCAATAAAATTACCTTAAATTCTCGAGCAATATTTACTATCTATCAAAAATTGTAAATCAACAAGCCATTTTTAAAGTATTTCTGCAACTCTGTAGTAATTAACTATCTTGGAAATCTAGAGAAATTAAGTAATTACCGATTTTTTATTTCTCGAGTAGTTCTAAACTATTTATAACCCTAGAGCAATCAAATTATCGTAAACTCTTAGCAATATTTACCATTTCTTAATTCTCGAGCAATTAATTATCTAGAAGCTCTCGAGCAGTGCTTTAAACTCTCGAGTAATTACAGATTTTTAATATATCGAATACTTTTACTTATTAATTTTAGATCAATAAAATTACCGTAAACTCTCGAACAATATTTACCAAATATTAACTTTCCAGCTATCAAATATTTTAAATCATCTAGCCATTTTTAAAGTTTGTCTGCAGCTCTCTAGTAATTAACTACCTTGGAACTCTAGAGCAATTAGGTTCTTTAAATGTTTGAGCAATTACCGATTTTTTATGTCTCGAGTAATTTTTAAATATTATTTACTCTTGAGCAAACAAATTATTGTAAACTCTTGAGCAAGTTTGAACTATCCCTTATCTCTAGCGCAATTTTTAACGAGCTTGCCACTCTTGAGTAATTACTGTGCACCAAACACTTACCGATTTTTAATCTCTCGACTATCTCGAGTATGTTTAATTATTATTTGCTCTTGAGCAATTAAATTACCGTAAACACTCGAGCAATTTTTAACAATTCCTTAACTTTTCTTTTTCTTTATTTAAATTTAATTTAAATTTCAAAATGATATAATTTCACTTATTTCGTTTTTATAGATATCTACCTTACATCACGAATTTGTAGCATAGTTGTGTTCTACTATTTTTTGAATAGTCCTGGGTTTTTCCTGTTTTTGCCTCAAATAATAAATAAGTAAACTGCTCTTTAGCAATCAAAAATCGTAAATTATTGAGCCATTTTTAAAGAGTCGGCAACTCACGGGCAATTACCTGTCTTCAAACTCTCGAGCAATTACGTACTTTAAATTCTCTATGATTTTTAATATGTATAACTATCCCTTAAGTCTTGAGTAATCAGCCATCGTAAAGCAATTTTTAAACATTCAGCAACTATCGAGTGATCAATTATCTGCAACACTCGATCAATTACCGTTCTTTAAACTTTCGAATAATTCAAATTGAGTAGTTTAAATTCTCGAGTAATTTAAACTGTCGAGTAATTTAAATTCTCCGGGTAATTTAAACTCTCGGGTAATTTAAACTCTAGGGTAATTTAAACTTTCGAATAATTTAAACACTCGAGTAATTTAAACTCTCGAATAATTTAACTCTCGAGTAATTACCAAAAGTTTAATCTCTCGAGTAATTTTTAACCATCTCCTAGCTCTCGAGAAATTTTAATATTGTCGTTTTTTTGATTTACTTCCCTCGTCGAACAGGAACAGTACAAATTCATCTACGACACTCTGGAGGAGAACGTGACGTGCGGCAACTCGTGGTTTCCAGTCAGCGAACTGTCGCAACGGCTGAAGGCGAAATCGCAGAAGAATCCGCTCACCAAGCTGAACGAATACCAACGGGAGTACATGCTGATTTGCAAACAGACTCCCAGATTCACGATCGGCGATTGCGCGGGCGGGCATCGGGGAGACAACAGGAAGAAAAATCGGGATGTGCTGATTGTACCACGTAAGTCAATGTTTTTGTTACAACGGCAATGTTTTAAGGGTGGGGTGGTAAGGGACATCAAATTAAACATCTTTGTTTAATATTATATTGTTCTTAATGTGAAGTTTATAAAACACTTGAAGCCTTCAATTTGGAAGAATCAAACTCACCACTTTACGTATTCATAATCTTTATTTATTAACTGTTAATACAAGAATGATCCCTTTTTAATGTTGTACATACCCATCGATGTACTACTTAAGCGATAACAAATCAACATAAGAAATAAATAAATATCCCAGTGGCGTATCAGTAATATTTACAATATACAACATCTAATGAATATTGGTCTGAAAACGCTTTTACATCAATATTTTAAAAACGTGTTTTTCTATTTTCAGCTGACAATTTTCGACCATATCTTACATCATTCCAAGGCAACAGCTACACCGACTACATCAACGCAGTTTTTGTTGACGTAAGTCTATAATTAATTCATATTGTTTGGCTTATAGCGTCGTGGTTTAAGAAGCAAGAATTTTCCAAGACCCAACTTCTTTAGAGCAGTTGTTACCTTTGGATCTTGAGACAATTAAAACGTGGTGGTATTATCCTAAAAGATTCTATTTATTGTCTAGGTTTATTTACATTTCTCAGTGGAACTGATAAATTGATAGTTTCGTCGAACTGTGATTTTGAAGATTTTTTGGGGTCCCAGGAGCAGAGATCTAAGATCCGGGGCCAAATAAACACAATTAATTGATAGGAAAAAACTATATTTGGCATCTCATTTTCGTCGATACGAAATAAGAGTAATAGCAATTTAAAGAATTTCGATAACTTATTGATATTTTACTGGCTCTATAATTAAAATGAAACTTTATCAGTAAATATTCAAATCAGTTACAATAATTAGATAAAATCATCAATAAAATCATCAGAATAAATCAGATTTATTGCAATATTTAATGAATAAAATCTTTCATAAAAACTCAATACTTAACAATTTATCTTTTGCTACCTCGAACACACTAAGAGAATTTGTTTTAATTCAAATAATTGAATAAGAATAGGATAGTATATTTAGGTATAGAAAAAAAATTACGCCTTACCTGAACCATTCACACACCATTTCGGATCTTTTTAGTTTAGCAACGCAGCAACCTGTTCGATAAATAATAGGTTCTTTCGTTCGTCCCACTGGTGTAGAAATGAACTACACCAACGTACACTAAACCTTTCGTTCGGCCCGGTGTAAAATCCACTAAACCTTCCTGTCGGCGATGTGGTATCCACAGGTGGATATTTTCTCCACCAGCTATTTAGCAGGAGTGAATTACACTCGACATGTGTATAATGAATAAGGAGGGAAGTAAACTAAGGTAAATTAGGTGGTGTAACTGGTGTAATTTACACTGGTGGACACTGCACCAACAGCGACCGAAAGAACCTAATCTGAGGCATATCATACAGGGCTGCCGCGGAGATATTTAGAAATGTACTAGAAAAATTGAGGAAAATGTACTAAATTGTACTAAATTTTAGGTGGATTGTCATTTGTCATAACTGTCACGTATGTTGTCAGTTGTCATGTCAAATCTTGTCGAATGTCAAGTGTAGGATGGATGGGCGTTGTTGGTTTTTGTTGCTTATGTACTTTAAAAAATTATGGTCTATTTATACTCCCTTAGTATTAGTATTATGATTAAGCATTAAATTTGTTAAATCATTCAAAAAAGGTATTTATACTCGTTTTATAATAGGTATTTTCCTTTGCATCGACAGTGTAGCACTGAGCTACGTCACTTCTGAAAATATCGTTCCATCCATACAATTTGTATAAATGGAACGATATTTTCAGAAGTGGTGTAGTTCAGTGCTACACTTTTGATGCAAAGGAAAAGACCTATTTAGTATTAGTAATTCTTTTTAAACCTAATACCTAATAAGATATAATTCTGCAGTCAACAAAATATATGGTTACTGAAGAAATATGTAAGAGGCCAGTTGTGTTCTTTTAAGATATTTGAGTTTAAAATGTGTTTTTATTAATATTTTTACTAGTTAATTTTATTTAAAAATATTATTATTCAAAAATAGGTTTAATTAAGGACATTTTAACGGATTTAAGTCTCAAATTTATAACAGATAAAAAGAAGCAGAAATTTGATACAGACAGAAAAGAGGCCTTTGCTTCCTCGTGGTGACATGTCATTTGTCAACTTTATAATCGGTAAACACTGCTGATACACAAAAATTGTATACAGCGCATGATTTGTTCCGAAATATTATCGTTTTCGAGCTTGTTGGAACAAACATATAAACAACATAATCATATGTGTATTGTCAATTATCCTTATCCGTTGTCTATTAAAAACAAAGGCCAAATACGTTATTGATTCATTTTATAGAAAAGAAGAAATTTAATTTAAAAGTTGAACCTGTTAATTATTAAGCATAAATATTAATGCTAATACTAATCATAAATCGAATATAAATATCCCCATTACATTGTGAAGGTTCAACTTAATGCTTAATCATAATACTAATGCAAATACTAATAATAAGAGAGTATAAATAGACCCTTAGAATTGGAATATACCACTGGAATATACCGATACATTAATAAGAATAAAGTTTGGTTTTAAATTTTATTATTTTAATCAAGTTTAAAGGCAAGCTTTTATATGTTTATCAAGGTAGGTAAAAATAAATTGTACGATCATAAACCAGTCACTGACACCAGGATTCTGCGCAATAGATAATTTGGAGGTCCCAATAATCTACTGCGCAGAATCCTGGAGTCGGTGACGGGTTTCTGATCGTTATTGGAATAGACCTTATGTAAAATCCCTTTTCTTTAGGAAAAATACTGCCAATATTTACAATACTTATCCTTATATCGGGAAACTTAAGCTTTCCATCATAGATGGTGCTACAAAGATGATCAGTATTTCAAATTGTACTAAATTATCCCTGATTTGACTTAAAATGTACTTTTGTACTTTGCCGTGAGAAATGCGAAGAAATGTACTAAATTTAATACAATTGTACTGAAACGGCAGCCCTGATATCATAGTTACTCTCTTTCTTGAATTGCTACCGAGAATTACGAGTTTTGACTTGTAAACTCATTTTTTAAAAACTAATAATTTTATTTTTGAAAATACTTTTAATAATGTTTATATTATAAATACAAAGTAAAATAAAAATATTAGACTGAAGAATAATATTAATTGGCAATCTATTTATATTAAAAATAAATGCTGACATCGATAGACATTGGCCGGCCGTGGTTTCGTCGCTAAACCTTTGACCATGTGGAATGTGATGAGTCGACAGGTCAATGTTCTGTAACTTTTCCATCCACTAAAGGAGTCTTGTAAGGGTCGAACAAGACTCTCCCAGTTTCTTCATCATCGGTTGTTATCTGTTGTCTGCGAGAACTTGTTATTGAATTTTCTCTTGGCTGTTGTATATTCCTTGAAGTGGTAGCTGGATTGGGAATGTTTCTTGGAGAAACATCATTTCTTTGATGGAGCACTGGGTGTTTAGCTTCGTTGGCTGTGGGATTTTACTTTGGTTTTCTGGTACTTGATATTCTTCTTATGAACTGAAGTTGTAGGTGTCTCCACTGTCACAAAGGTCTCGTTCTGGGCCATATTAGGGGCAAATCTAGGAAGGAGTTTGTTTCGTTTAAGGGTCGGTCCTCCTTGAGTAGATTTTTAAGTTTGGCTTGTAAGTAATAGGTGTGTGTCTTGTTTCGTTTCTTTTATCTATGTTGGCTTTCTTGTTGTCGTATATATGTTCATTAATTTCTTTGGTTTTCTCTTAGTGTTGTTCTACGTAATTGTTTAATAACATTTTGTTGATATCCATGTCGAAAGGTTCTCTTGTGTCTAAATGTCCATTTAATACTTCGATAGGTTTCAACTTCGTTGTCGAATGTATAGAATTATTGTAACACAGGATTTCTCTAGGAGGATATCAAATAGAATAGGGAGATTTACCTAACTTGAAACCACTTCAAATCCTTCACTTCCTTGAGAAAATAGGATTGGAAGGGTCGTTATAGGCATTGAGACATTTCCTTAGTGCAGTGGCGACATAAGGGGGCACAATAGATCTTTTAGGTCGCAGTGTATTAATACCCCATTCTCAACATAACATAACAACCCAGGATGGCGTAGGGTATTTTCTCTTTGATGGGAATGGCCGTTTGAGTACTTCTCAATATTCTTAAGTGTTCTACTATTGTGGAATGAAATCCGTTGGACGAAGGGTTGTCAGGTGTTGTGTAGTGGATTGAAATTTTATAAACATCTACGAAATCTTGCACAACGCCATTTTTGAACTCTGTACCACTATCAGCAATGATCATCTTTGACAATCCATGGTGTGTGACGAAGATTAAACGTGCACCTACTATGTTGGCTGCAGTTGCTCCTTCTAGAGGATAGGCTATTTTGAAAATCCATCCACAATTGTTAGGAATTTCTGTTTTATTCTGTTAACACCCGATTACATTGTAATCTTCATTTCATTTTTAAAACATGAGTGTCGCGTTAAACTGTTTGGTAGGGTTTTGAAAGCTGTTTTTATTTTATAAGTGTTAATCTAGACTCTCAGTATGTTTGGCACTAAAGACACCTCCGACGATGAATATATATCCAAAATATTGTCGACAATGACCTCATATGTTTTAGTCTTTATTTTCGTAGCGGTAAATTGAATCTCTTTTGTTTTATACTAGTTTCTTGATGATGTATAACTGATTCTTTTATCAGCCATGTTTTCCTAGCGTCGGAATTTTGAATAAAGGTTTTTTATGCTTCCCGTATTGCTATCTTTCGGATTATTGTTATGATGATGGCTTTCTAAAGATGTTATCTTTTAGACGATTGCTACGATGATGGTTTTGTAAAGCCAAAAGTGACCAACCTACTTTTAATCATTCTTCACCGTAGATAATTATTGATGAATCGTAATATAGTTATTTTTTTTATTTTCTAGGGCTACACAAAACCGAAGGAGTACATAGTCACAGAATGGCCTGTAAAATCGACTTGTGGCGAATTTTGGTCCTTGGTCTACGACTACGATTGTTCGGCGGTCGTGATACTATGTGTCCCGCCTCTTAATTCGGTAACTAAAACTATTTGTATTAAAAAATTCGATAAAAACATAAATTTTGTTGATGTAATTATTTGTTCTAGCAACAGTTTCCATCATTTTGGCCTGAAGGTAGAGCTTCCAAGAAATACGGTCCTGTGTTTACTATAGATCATATATCCCACAGTCATTATTCGAATATTAGAACATGGGTTTTTCGTATAAACAAAAAGGTAAGATTCATAAAACTAACAATGAATAAGGTATAAATTTGACAGTTATACAATAGTTCTACTATCTTTTTATTCTATTTATTTGTTTATTCAAATTCATTAAAATTTATTTAAATTCATTCAGATTCATTCAGATTCATTCAGATTCATTCAAATTCATTCAGATTCATTCAGATTCATTCAGATTCATTCAGATTCATTCAGATTCATTCAGATTCATTCAGATTCATTCAGATTCATTCAGATTCATTCAGATTCATTCAGATTCATTCAGATTCATTCAGATTCATTCAGATTCATTCAAATTCATTCAGATTCATTCAGATTCATTCAGATTCATTCAAATTCATTCAGATTCATTCAGATTCATTCAGATTCATTCAGATTCATTCAGATTCATTCAGATTCATTCAGATTCATTTAGATTCATTCAGATTCATTCAGATTCATTCAGATTCATTCAGATTCATTCAGATTCATTCAGATTCATTCAGATTCATTCAGATTCATTCAGATTCATTCAGATTTATTCAGATTTATTCAGATTCATTCATATTCATTCAGATTCATTCAGATTCATTCAGATTCATTCAGATTTATTCAGATTCATTCAGATTCATTCAGATTCATTCAGATTCATTCAGATTCATTCAGATTCATTCAGATTCATTCAGATTCATTCAGATTCATTCAGATTCATTCAGATTCATTCAGATTCATTCAGATTCATTCAGATTCATTTAGGTTCATTCATATTCAATCATATTCATTTAGGTTCATTCAGATTCAATCAGATTCATTCAGATTCGATCCGATTCATTTAGATTCATTCAGATTCATTTAGATTCATTTAAATTCATTTAAATAATACCCATTTATTAAGTAGGAAAAACATTATAAATAGAATTTTAATAACCAAACCTGCAAATATATTATTAGAATCCAAGTGTCTACATCCATGAAAAAATGCTTTGAAACAGAAGAAAAAATGATATTAACATTGGACAAATTTTGATTGACAATTTAAGCGAATTATGTTGACCCAAATTTACTGTATTATTTAAACATTTTTGTGAAATTTGCAGTCATTCGTTAAACCAATATGCAGTAATAATAATTTTAGATCAACTGTATTCATTAAAACTTGTATATCATTGATGATAACGATAACATTCAAGTACATAGTGAATAGAAGAGGCTCAAAAATTGATCCCTGCGGCACTCTCGATAATTGACAAAACTTTTCTGATCTATAACCACAACTCTTATGGGTATACCACAAAATTTTACTAAAATACTTTGTAAATGATTAAAAGTTTCCTATGACGTATTAAAAAAAATATAATTACCACAGCTAAATTATAATTGGTCAAATACCTTCGAGAATTCTTTCGAAACTAAATTCGAACAAGATTAAATTTGCTGTCATTTACTACGTGTATATATAATAGAGTTAATAGAACGTTCAGGAGCGGATTATGAATTTTTTATAAGATCTGAACTTTCGTCTCGTTAAAGTTTAAAGAGTTTGTAACACAAACTTTGCTAAATATTTAAACGGAAAATTAAACGTAAAATACGATATCTCGTTTCTATATGAAGACTTTATTTGCGTTATTAAAGCTTGATTTAAACAAGGAACTGACGACTTCTTTGCACTTTAAAGTTGAGTGTTTTATTTTTAATATATATTTACTTGGATAAAGGTTAATCTTATCGAGATTTTGGGATGAGATTTTTAACATTTTTTGCTCTTCGCCGTAAGGTGACAACATGAGATAATTACTTAATATATTTTCTGATTAATTGTATTTAAGGTTGCATGTTCTTTGTTGGCCCTCATTCGATAAATGGTATCACGAATTTCAAATTTCTTTCCATCTGGAATATCTTTCGTTTTCAATGATGGGCGAATTTTGCGGTGATCTTCTTTCGGCAGTTCACTATTGTGATTTTGTAATACTCCTCTTAATTTGGTTTCACTAATTCCTAGAGCATCGCATACGCGTTGTTGTACAGACATTACCGATTTTAAAGGACCGCCATTTTCTTTTTCATTCGTAAAATACTTATGTTCACTACAAATTAGACTATCTACATTTAACACGTTTAGGCATTTTTAAAATTTCCACTAAATTTACAATATACATACAATGTCAACACTTGCAAAGAATCAATTCAACTGCAATATTTGTAACAAATTTAGTACCTACCCTAATTTTATTTTAATTCAAATCTGACCATTAGGGCAATTTTACCTAATTTCTTGGGAAGAGGCTTATTGGAACTGGTTGTCAATGACTAATTTGCATAATTTTGTTAATCCGAAACCCGCGTAAGTATAGCGAACAGACTGTAGTTCCCATTTTTAAATAAATTCAAATTAATCCATAATAAAAAAAAAATTTTCGTTTGCCATACTTGAACTCATTCACAAAAACAAGTCACTAAGTAAATATTTGTAAAAAAAACTACTTTAAATATGTCTCCGTTATAAATTTTTATATTTAAATCTACATACTTTCCTACAGATTTTGCAGTAGCTAAATAACGTATAGAATAAAATTATACAACATACCAGAAAAGTTTTAGATTAGAGTAATTCTTAAGAAATAAAACAAAACTCTATTTTGTTAGTGTAACCTTGTGGTTTTTAAATATTTCCCTTGACAAACTAACGTTATATTTTGAACTAAAAGTAATTAAACTTTTCACTAAAAAGTAATATTTCAGTTTCGAAATTCAAACATTTTTGACACTCAATCTCATACATAAAAAAATTAATAATAAGATGATTAAACGAATATTGTATTTAAAAAAAAGAATCAGCTTGTGAAACATTCTATACATTTATAATTTATACGCGTTAAATGATATATATTTCCATAAAAACAAAATTTTTTATAGATTGTTTCGTTGACCGAACTGATGGCTGGGGTAAAAGCCCCTCCGAAAACAGTACAACTATTTCAGCTGACCTGTTGGCCAATGGGTCACAAAGTGCCTACTTCCACGAATTCCTTAGTGGAACTGATGAATATGGTCGAGAGATGGAGACAGCGAAGCGATTACGGACCTGTATGCGTCGTATCTCCGTAAGTAAAACATAAACATCTCTATAACGCTCTGTTTTACTTCAAAAATATTCATTATAAAATTTGTCATACGCTCAATGGTTTTGGAGATATAGCTGTGTTTATTTGGTGTTTTATTTTTAGTGATGGCCGTAGTAGATGTGGTATATACTGTTCAGCAAACGCTTGTATAGAGCAGGTTATCCAACATGGAGAAGTTGACGTTTTTCAAGCTGTCAGAACTGTTAGAAGACACAGACCACAATTGATTGAAAATATAGTAAGTAAACTCATATTTTTTTAAATATTTGCTATATTTCTCTGCTGTTTTTGTTTCAGACTGAATATAAATATTGTTACGACGTAGTATTGCACTATGTACTACACTATCTTCAAAAAGATCTAGAAGAAATCAAGAAGTAAACACGGAAATAATCAGCACAATTTTTTGGTGATTGTTGTTTTTTACCTGAATAAAAAAAATATTTACTGATGATAAATAAAGAATTTATAAATAAATACGCCAAAATGTATGCACAATTGTATTACCCAAGAGGTCCATATTATCTAAATATAGTTTTTTTTAGAAAGTAGATGTGACGCTAGAAAATATTTCATGCATTTACCTCATTTACCACTTCAAAAAAATATATACCGAATCACGCATTGTAAAGGGTGTCCCGTAAATAGTGAAGTACATAAGATAGGAAAATTTAAATTCGTAAAATCATTCTTTATAAAAAAATTTGCTTTTTGAGAAAATAAGATTACCACATAAAAATCTTAGATCAGATGTACAGGGTGTTGATAAATTAATAGAACATGAAAATCTTAACCTACTATTTTTTATTATTTATAGCAAAATGTTGTTAACAGAAAGTTGTTAGTAATTCAAAAAAAAGCCCGAATAAAAATGTTCAATTCAAAAAATCATTAGTAAAATGTACAAAGAATTTATTAAAGAATTGGTAAAATGAGTGGAGTTGGTTTTTTGATTTGAAAATTACAAACAACTTACTTTTGTAAACATTTTACTATAAATAATAAAAAATGGTAATTCTCTCTTGAAACATTTTCATGTTTTATTAATACCCTGTACATCTGATCTAATATTTTTATATAGCAATCCTATTTTCCCGACAAGCAAAATTTTTTATAAAGAAGTACTTTTCGTTCTAGAATTATTAATTTTTCCTCTTTAATGAACTTCATCTGTATAATATGATTTTTTACTCTTTATTTATGGGGCACTCTGTATTAACTTAACTATCCAAATATTTCCTAAAAATTTTATTCAAAAAATCCAAGTGGATGGTCGTCTATAGACAAAGTTTAATAAACCGCGACTTTTCAGGTGTATGGCCAGTTATATTTTTAATAAACATTTTTGCGACGATAGTTGCCATACACGATGAATATTTTATAAACCATAATCAGAATTCTCGGCCGTAATCTTGCGAATCGAAGTGAAGGTTTTTTTATGGCTGGCCATATACGTAAAATATTTTTAACGCAATTTTTTTATTAATAAACTTTCAATGAAAACTAATTTTAAAGCTGACGCTTTTATGGAAAAATACAAAAATAAGATAAAAAATCAGTTTATGGAAATCAATTTCAACACCTAATTGATTTGATTACAGTTTCATTAAGAATTAAACTGTTTCTGTTATTAGATTGATATTATCTGTAACTTTCAAAAAAATGAAAAATTTCAGTATAGCTGGCCATTTACGTTAAAATTTAGAATGTTAATTAAATAATTTTGTGTTTGGAGCGGACCATACACGTAAAAAATGTATATGTATGTATGAAATTTTCTTTTTTATTAACAAGGAAATATTTGGAAGTTTATTTTTTCTTCTCATCTCATCCATCCGAAATATTTAAGAAGAAATAGTTTTCGAATGATAAGGAATCGTAAAAAGTTTTAAAAATTTACAAATTTCAAAACTTTTACCAAAAGTTTCCTAACAAAAAAATTCAACTGTGAGACATTTTGTATTAAAATAAAAAAGAAAATTAGAATAAAAATCATTTAAATAATATAAAATAACACAGGATGATTCTAAATTAAATTCTAAAATATGTTCATTTATATTGAAAATTACCTAATTATTTCCTAATATATTTTATACAAAAAATTCAAGTGGATGGTCGTCTATAGACAAATTTTGTAATCGCGATTTTTCAGGTGTCTGATCAGCTATATTTTTAATAATTTTTGCGACGATAGCTGGCCATACACGATAAATATTTTATAAACAGTAATTCGAGAATTCTCGGACGTAATCTTGCGAATCGAAGTGAAGGTTTTTTTATGGCTGGCCATATACATAAAATATTTTTAACGTTATTTGTTTTATAAATAGAATAGTATTGAAAACTAATTTTAAAGATGAGGCTTTTATAAAAGAAAATACAAAAATAAGACAAATAATCAGTTCATGGAAATCAATTTCAACACCTAATAAAATCATTTTTTATTGATTTGATAACAATTTCATTGAGAATTAAACTGTTTCTGTTATTAGATTGAAATTATCTGTAAAAAAAAATTTAAAAAATAAGTATAGCTGGCTGGTCATACACATTATAATGTAGAATGTTAATGAAAGAATTTTGTGTTTGAAGCGGACCGTACACGTAAAAAAATTCTATAATGACCTTCTTATATGTGTATATAAAATTTTCTTTCTTATTAACAAGGAAATATTTGGAAGTTTATTTATTCCTCTCAGCTCATCCATCCGAAATATTTAACAAGAAATAGTTTTCGAATGATAAGGAATCGTAAAGTTTTAAAAATTTACACATTTCAAAACTTTTACCAAAAGTTTCCTAACAAAAAAAATTTAACTGTGAGACATTTTGTATTAAAATAAAAAAGAAAATTAGAATAAAAATTATTTAAATAACATAAAAAACAGGACGATTCGAAATTAAATTCTAAAATATGTTTATAATAATACAGGTAATATATTCTTAATAAATTGTTCAGGAAATTTAGCGGTTTTATAGAAATAGTATTGCTGACCATACATGCTAAAATGTAGAATGTTAATGACATAATTTTGTGTTTGGAGCGGACCGTACACGTAAAAATCATTCGATAACTCTCAAAAATGAATATGCCCTTCTTATACAAATTGTCCCAAAAGTCTGGAAACGGCCAATTATCACGTAAACTGCTAGTCCTAATTGTACAAAATTTGGGGTACACCTATTATGGGATACGGAGATTCCAGATTTGATATATTTGCAATATTGCCAAATTTGCCGTTTCTCTTATATTATTAGTCACTTTGGTTTTTCAAATTCATTACCCTGTATATTCAGTCATTATTGGAATCTCCTATTCAATACGAGTTCAACTATATGTAACATTTATGATATTATGTAGTCTGGAAGGTCTTAAATAAATAAAACAGAAGTCTGGCAACGCCTAATTGTCTCAATAAATTTTTTAATACAAACTATTTTCAACTATATTAAAACGGGTAGACCAGTTTTTAGCATAAATAACGTATTTATGATCAAGTTTCCTAGACTAAATATAGAGGGTGTAAATTTTAAAACTCCCCATTGACAATATCTCATAACGAAATTTGTAATTTTTCAGGTGTATGGTCAGCTATTTTTTTAATAAACATTTTTGCGACGATAGCTGGCCATACACGAGAAATATTTTATAAACCGCAATCCGAGAATTCTCGGCCATAATATTGGGAATCGAGGTGAAGGTTTTTATGGCTGGCCATATACGTAAAATATTTTTTTCGTTGTTTTTTTTTTAAATAAAATTTTAATGAAAACCAATTTTAAAGATGAGGCTTCTATAAAAAATACAAAAATAAGACAAAAATCAGTTTATGGAAATAAATTTCAACACCTAATAAAATAGTTTTTTTATTAATTTGATAACAATTTTATTGAGAATTATACTGTTTCTCTTTTTAGATTGAAATTTTCTATAACTTCAAAAAAAAATTCAGTATAGCTGATCATACATGCTAAAATGTAGAATGTTAATGACATAATTTTGTGTTTGAAGCGGACCGTACACGTAAAAATTATTCAATAACTCTCAAAAATGAATATGCCCTTCTTATACAAAGTGGCCCAAAAGTCTGGAAACGGCCAATTATCACGTAAACTGCCTAATTGTACAAAATTTGGGGTACACCTATTATGGGATACGGAGATTCCAGATTTGATATATTTGCAATATTGCCAAATTTGCCGTTTCTCTTATATTATTAGTCACTTTGGTTTTTCAAATTCATTACCCTGTATATTCAGTCATTATTGGAATCTCCTATTCAATACGAGTTCAACTATATGTAACATTTATGATATTATGTAGTCTGGAAGGTCTTAAATAAATAAAACAGAAGTCTGGCAACGCCTAATTGTCTCAATAAATTTTTTAATACAAACTATTTTCAACTACATTAAAACGGGTAGACCAGTTTTTAGCATAAATAACGTATTTATTATCAAGTTTCCTAGACTAAATTTAGAGGATGTAAATTTTAAAACTACCCATTGGCAATATCTCATAACGAAAAAAAATATATAAAAAATTGCTTAGAATTGGTATATTTTTATTCTATAATATGATTTTTTGCCCTCTATGGTACACCGTATTAACAGAAATAGGAAATATTAACTAAAATATTTCCTAAAATATTTTATATAAAAAATTCAAGTGGATGGTCGTCTATAGATAAATTTTGTAATCGCGATTTCTTAGGTGTATGGTCAGCTATATTTTTAAAAAGCATTTTTGCGACGATAGCTGGCCATACACAATAAATATTTTATAAATCGTAATCCGAGAATTCTCGGCTGTAATCTTGCGCTTCAAAGTAAAGGTTTTTTTTGGCTGACCATATACGTAATTTTTTTTATATGTATTTTTTTATATAGACAGGCGACCGGCTGTTTCTCTGAAACAGTACGTTCTAAAATTTGGGGAAAAAATTCCTATAACAAAATCGGCCCTTAAAAAATACTTTAAAATATTTTTAAGTCATTAGTTTTCCACTAGGTGACGCAATCTATCAGAAAACATAATGAGTTTTCTATAAAATATTCTCCATTTAAGGTTGGTAAAAGTATCAAGTTTAGAAACTACTGTCATTATTATACAACTTTTGTTTCAGTCGTTTCTCTGTATTGCCTATTCTTAAGTGATAAGGGAAGTGTATTTTCGTTGATATAAAAAAGACTCTAAATTTTGCGCACAAACTTAAACTCCTTGAAAAGAGCATTAAAGGTAGATTTCAGAAACAAATAATAACAGCAACACATTTAACTATCGGCAACATAATCTGACCCAGCAAACATTTTGTGCAGGGTAATAAAAGGCCCACTTAGCCATTAAATCCAGTTAATAGGCCTCCATTTTCCCTTTAATGTCTAGAAATAAATATATTGGCAATTAATGGCCTATTGATGGGAATTTAACGGGAAATTGCTGGCCTTTTACCATATTAATACTGACTGCTGCCATGTGTCAGGTACATGACCAGACAGGATATTCAATAGTGCTTCTTTGGCCAGTAGTCCGTTTGAACTATAAATACTATAAAAAACAGAAGGCATTTCAATATAGAATATTGTAGACATTTTAATTAATTCAGCTATATAATATAATAATACAGAAAAAAATATTTATAAACTATTCTAAACGAACATGTAAAAGTAAAAAATAACAATGAATACTGAATAGTGAATACCAGCAATATGAGACTGGCCTTATAGTACATGTCCACTCGTTAAGTATGTAACAAGCGATCATCGGTGTCTCCATCTATGAACGCGGGACGGAGCCCCCTGGACTGTTGGAATTGTGTCTGCGGCAGTTAAAAGCCTTTTGACTTTTACCATGCTTTTACCCAATACAGTTTCTTACCCTTCATAAGGCCATCATCAAGCAACATAATGCTGGGCCACTATCGAAAGGCCAGAAGTAGGCTTTTATCTTTTATTCGTCGCATTCATTTTCCCTTCAATTACAGCAAAAGGCCAGCAATATCCCGACAATTTATTGTTTGTT